TAGTGGGGTTATCAGTTAGCGATCATTGTGGTGGCTTCTAGACACATAACAGATAGGGGACTTTGTAGAAGTAGACCTGTAATTCTGAATTTTTCCACATTGTAAATTTTGACTACAGACGAAGAGCCAATGAGATCACACTTTTCATTACACAAATGAAGATAGTGATTAACCTTGCAATGGTTAGGTCTTTGATGCAGAGGATATCAAAATGAACAGACAGAGTGGGCTGGTCTGAACCTTTTGGGGGCCTTATCAACCGACCTGGTCTTTTTAATTTGGCAGCTGTACTGTGAGCATTTCCAAGCCCAAATATGTGTGGCTTCTCAAGCTCTGGAGTGCTGTGGGGAGCAGTTCCACGGCAGATGAACCTATTAAGAAGAAAGGAGATACCCCTCTACAAAGATGAGCAAACTAAAGAATAGGATGAAAAAAGATTGAAGAGGATAATACTGCAGAAACAGAGACTGGATTAGGAAAGTGAAAGGCTTTTCCTCCTCAAAAGCCTTCAAATTGCGATGATTTCCATTGCCTTGATAAAATCAGATCTGGCTGGTAGTGCCATATTTTCTTTTGTGCTTTTGTAGTGATGATAAATTTTGCATGAAATGAAAGTAAATAATTGTTTATACTTCATTTTACAGCAGCCTATATGTCATAAGTCAGCACTTCTCCTCTGAGATTTATAGAGCAGGATTTAGGCTAAATTGCTGGCATATGAGATTTCAGCCAAAGGTTGTTTTCCTTTAACCATTTTGTTTTTCAAATGCTTTGGCTGATTTTAGGTTATTGGAGTCCAATATAATTACTTGCTTAATTGCTTGGAAGAAGTAGAGCTTCCGTAGTTCAAAAATGGCTTATTTTCTTTAAAAATAACTGAAATCTGGCTTGGAGTTCTCTAGAATGCAATGCACTATACAATTGTGTAATTTTATCCTCTTAAAAATTCCCTGAATAGTCATTAAATCTTTGGAAACTAGCTAATCTCCAGGAGGATGCGATGGGTCTGGCTATTTTCCAGGGTTTGCAAGAGGCTATGACAGCTTAACATGGTAAGAAAAATGGTTTCTAAATCACTGCAAGACTGGGTCAAAGATTCTAGCCTGCTGAAACCCAGTTGGTCTTCTTAATGACTTCTGAATTCTCTGATGTCCAGAATCAGCCTCTGCTTTCAAGAGGTAACACAGAGCAGAAGAGAAGAGGAAAAATTGGCACAGAGTCGATAGAGCTTGCGAATAAGGATGGATCAGTTAGATATTGGTCAGTGCCACTTTCAGTTGTGCTGTACCAGCTTGTGTTGTGTCATGTTGAAGCTCAACAACAGAGGGCTTTTATGAGAGGTATTAGGTAATGATGTGGAGGAGAGTAGAGTAACAAACAAGGCAATAGAACAGGCAAAACTGTAGCCTGCATGTTGAGAAGCCAGAGATAATGCTAAGATGTTCGGGATCATTATATTTGTCCTGAATACCACTCAGTACCTTAGCGCGGAGGATAAGTATGTCACTTTCAGCCTGCTCTCCTCTCCAGAGGACTGTGTATGTGGGTGTTCATGTGCCTGTGCAGTCTGTCAGTCTGTTCTTCTGTCTTTTCCCTTATAATATCTTCATTTTTTATTCGGTACCAAGCAAATCTGGCACAAAGGGAGGGGTCTCACAGACAATGAAATTCCAACAAGTTTCATGAAAATTATATGTTCTTGTGCAGAAAAAGAGAACCAGAAATTACTCCCAGAAGGACTCCCAGCTGAAGGCAGTGTTACAGTATGTGTCCTTACACACAGAAGCAACAAAGAATAAGCAGAAGGATGGGTAGGGGGCAAGAGAAGCCCCAAGAGACCCAGCCACAGGAAAACTGCTCTGGATATTGCACTTTACCCCAAAATGCAATTCACAGGGAACCAGGCATTAGTTCCAACACTCACAAAGCTAGGAGCTGTGCCTCTGACTGTGGCACCCTTGTGGAAATTTCTCTTGCCTAACCTTACCCCAAATCACTGAAGCATATTCTTTTTTTTTTTCTTTTTGGGGAATGGGGGAGCAGGGAAGAAGTGCACTGCATTAGTGAGCTTGGTTAGCCATGTCAGCCAAGGTACCAGCCAAACACACTAGATTGATGGGTTTTGCAAGGGAAAGATTTGCCTCTACTCTTTAGAGCTAAAGTTAATTTTGGGTAGAATACCAACATGATTTTACTAAATTTGGTCTTTGGTTTTTCTGGTGAAAACAGAGATTGCTTCTTCTCTGCCTGGTGTGGCTGCAACCTGCTTTCTAAGGATATGAAAATAAAAATAAATATGTATGAAAATAAAAACGTTACTATGTTGGGAGGGAATCTGGTCTCTTTTTGGAGATTGCTGCAAGACATTCATTGGGTTACATTGCCTTTCATCCTCTAAACATCTGAAAGATGGCAGTGCATTCCTGAACCTCTACAAACCACAGAAGTGACTGTTTCACATGCATGCTAAGTAGACAGTCGCAGAGCTTTAGGGCATTGTGAGTGTGCTGAGGACAAGGTGTGTCTTCTTTCACCCAGACACAGTCTTGTGTATGCAGCAGACAAGGATTTGGGAATGATGGGAGAAGAAAAGATTCAAAGAGGCTGCAAAACATTCCCCCTCTTGTCTTTTCATATTGCTCTTCGTCTAGGTTGTCTGGTAGGGTCAAGGTGCAGCTCCCTTCCTTTACCTATGCCCATTCAGTTGCAGCTGTGTTGACCTTTGGGAAAAAAAGAGGTCATTGCCATTTGTAAATAGAGGAGATGGACTGTCATATCAAAGCTTGGAGTTGAGGATGTCATCACATCAGCATCATTCCTCAGAGACTCCATGTGAATCAGCAGGACTCCATCAGTGACTCAGATGAGCTCAAGAAAAGGTCCCAAGAGTGCTGATCTGGGTTTCATGTCTGGACAGCTTGATCCAATGGATCTTGAAACCAGAGTATTTTATGTATTCAGAGGATGACTGTCTTGTACTTATACGAAGAGAAGAACGTTACTTGAGATTATTCAGATGTAAATGAGAAATTTCATTTTTAATATATCGCATTGTACCTATTAAATCTATCAAACAATAGCTGATTGCAAAAGCCCTCTATAATTGGCTTGTTTCAACTAGTAGCAGTAGAAATCATACATGACTATGTCTGTTCTGCTAGTTAACATTTAAAAGATAAAAGAGAGATAAAAGGGAGTGGAGAATTGTAGAGAATCATTCAGGTTGTTTTAGCTTCTTATGGTTTGATTCCAATGGATTTATAATTTTGTCTGTGTGTCAGTAGTAGCTCATGGGATTAGACGTGAAGTCTGTATAGATACGAAGTTTGAAAAGAAAGATCTACAGTGAGCTTGCCTTCCACAGTTGCCTAAATCTGTTTCAGAGGTCCATAACATGAGTTTGGAAGGCCCAGATCTCTTAGGGCAGATCACCATCACTTAGCTGACTTGATGAAAATGTGAGGTTTCAGGGGGTGTGTGTCCACAAGGAGAACAGCTCTATAGCTTTTGCAGGAATAAGAGGGCTCTGTTCTTAAGTCTCGGGTAAAATGCAGAAAATGAAGTCTAATTTTTAGTAAATAAATACGATAGTACAGAAACAAGGTATGACATTATAGTACTTGAGGGCTTTAACGGTAGTAAACTGGGCATTGCCATAAAGAAAATAATTAGGAAATGTACTTTCACCAAAGGAACAAAAAGCTCAGATGAGAGGTAGCCATTCTGAAAAGACAAAAAGAAACCAGTTAGAGCATCCCACACTAATACATAGCACAAGCATAGCCACTTATTAACACAAGAGTGCTATGTGATCTATTATGTTGTAACTGAGATTGCTTAGTCAGGTTTCAACTCAGAATTAACTGCAAGCTGTCTAATAAAGTAGTAATAGCCAAATGGACTCTTTGAAGAGAAATGAGAAATTCTTAAACTTTAACTGAGAAATTCTTAAAGCTAAATTTGATAAATCTTACAAATACTGACTTTGTGTACTATTGCTTGTGGTTGGGGGGTCCACGCAGGCTTGCTTCTCATATTCTTTTACCTTAATAAAGCCAATAACTGTTCTTTGGTGATCTGTTGAGGTAGATCAGTTAAAACCTATCGGAGGCCAGGCAACCATTCTGAACTGTTAGCTACTGATTTCATTCTGGTTTTACGCTTTTTCATCTCTGTTATTTATCTTGGTGATGATGATCATGGTTGTGAAGGTTGATTTGAGCTGTTGAACCTGAAATTCATCTGTTTTGAGTTTTCACTAAGCATCTGTTTTAGCAGTGCTTTTTCCTGTACATTAAGCTTCAGCACTGTGCATTTGTAGCACTGTAACTGGAGTCATAAAAAGTAAACACCATGTCTAGAAGCTCTTAATCGGTATTTCACAGCCGCATTAGCAACTCCGTCCTCCCCCTTGCCCTATCAAAAGCATACACTTAGGAATGGCAGGGCATTGCTAATGCCATCCCTTATATCCAATTCAAAGGAAGAATTCAATTTAGATACTCGTCCTTCTTCTTCTGTGAAGAACATGAATTCCTAAATTTGTTGCAGGGTTTTTTTCATCTCTTCCTCCTATATCTTTCTTTAGAGAAAAGGAAAACACCAGGGTATTCCACTGTAAACAGTATGCATCCTTTGGTTTTAATGCTTATTCATTTCAAATGGATAAATATGTTAAAATAAATTGGATTCTGTCTGGCTATCTTAATGCCTTAATGCTATTGGATATGGTGGGAGGGGGGGTACTAGCACAGGCACTTTGCCAGATTGCCAGCTTCATTCTTTATTGCCTGATCCCAGTTTCAGAAGAAAGAGGTCTGTATGGTCCTCTCTTGCCACCCGTAACTGGAGACCTACAGCATCAGTGTGGTGCATCTCTAGTCACTTCTAAAGCATAATGTAAAACCTTCCACTGCTGGGCAGTTTGTGTTACTGTAACACTGCTGAGTCTTTCTTGCAGCCCGTGTCAAGGATTGAACTTTCTAAATTATGTATTTCAGACGTTGAGAAAGAAAGGACTTAATGGCTGTGACAGTCCAGACCCCGATGCAGACGATTCAGTAGGTCACAGCCCTGAGTCTGAGGACAAGTACAGAAAAATTAATGAAGATATTGATCTAATGATCAGCAGGCAAAGATTATGTGTAAGTACTCTGAGCTCCTTTTCATTTTTTTTACTTTTTGATATTTCTCTGAACCTGGCAGGCATTGAACAAGAAAGAAAACAAAGGTTGTGAAAGCCCCGATCCTGACTCCTCTTACGCTCTCACCCCACGCACTGAAGAAAAATACAAAAAAATTAATGAAGAATTTGATAATATGATCAAGAGCCATAAAATACCTGTAAGTACCAAAGGTTAGATGGCTGTCTGCTGATAACTGCTGCAGTAACAAACCATAACCCTTTCAGTTCTGGCTTCTTAAGGAAAACATTTCAGCTGGAAACAGGCTTTAATAGCCCAATATATAATTAAACACTGTGGTCAGAAAATTTCACACGACATATTTTTCTTCCAAGTTTCTACCTCTGACACACAGACAAAGCCTACTATAGGTGAAACCTACAGAAGGAAGTGAAATATACAGATATACATTATATTCACTTGATTTACAGAACTGTTTTACCACATCACTCACCCAAATTAGATCTAAAAAATAACGATGGAAATCTTTCTTTGTGGACAGGCTAACAAACCCACAGAATACTTTCTGTGGTGATATAGAAAAAAATGATGTAGAACTGAAATTCCTTTACATATAGTAATTAGTGCGTTCTGTGCATGTCACTTCAGTTCTCAAGTGCCTCTGCTAAACTCAGTTGCAGCACTGAAGGGTTACAGCTACTTGCTCGCTGCAGAGAAACAGACTGCATGAGAGCCTAATGGTAGGATTCAGACATGTTTGTGTGTTGGGGTGATTTTACAGCTTTATCAGAGAATTTGCTTTGACCTCATCAGCATTTCTTTAATGCTTTAACATGAGCTAAATTTTGTGTTAACCAAGTCAAAATTTCTAACCATCAGTCATATGCCTTGCCAGATATCTAAGAGAAATAACTCTGCATGTGCTATTTTGTTTGCACAAGAAATACAAGGGAAGAATACTTTGTCATACGTTTAATATTACATTTGTAAAGCCGACAAAAAGAATGTGGAGGTTTGGAGGTTATATTTGGCCCTTCTTCCAAAAGTGTGTGGAAGAGAAAGTAGCAAACCAAAGATTTGCCCAAGTCCAAAGAAGCATCTGAATTTGCATAGGTTATTGCTTGCTTCTAAAAGAGATCATTTGGATGTGTTCATTCCTCATTCCCACATGTAGGTTGTATGGTCAGCTGCCAAAAAGGATGTCTGTATATCCAGAATGAGCAAAGTCTCTTCTGTAGTGCTAGTCAATTGTGCATACAAAATCTGATACCTAAGCTGAGGATACCTTTTAAGGATGCTCAGATTCTGTTTCATGCAGTGTAAGCGTTCCTTCCATTAATTCTCAAAAGAAATATTTTCACTCAAATTAATTAAAAGTTGAAGAAGGTCTCATATCATGGCAAACATATTTTTGCAAAAAAAATTTAAATAATAAAGATTTTCCCAGAGACCAGAATGGCACCAAATTTGATAAATTAGTATTTGGAATGACTGGTTAAGGATGCCCAACTTGTATGTAAAATATCAGGGAGGAATACATATATATTCCATCTTTTTTTACCTCCCTTTTTATTTGCTTCTTTTGCATAGCTGTTTTTTTCAGGGAAAAAAGCTGTCACCATGAATTTGATTTTTCAGGATGGAACTCAGTTTGACAAACAATGACTGCAACATTTAGGGTGACTGTTATAAGCTGAAATGCTTAACACTTTTTCATGTCAAAATTTTACCTATTGCCATTCCTTTCCTCTTCCAAGGATGACCTTTGGCTTGTTTAAATCAAAGTGACGGAATTTCAATCAAATAGTATTTAACCAAGCTACTTTCCCACCTTAAAAGTTGTGTTTGGGATGGTCCTTCAGATCCTCTGTTTCTCTCACGCTACCTGTTTTTGTTCCAACAAAGCAGCACATGTTATAACAATTTGAAATTTTAAGACATGAAAAAAATCTTGGAAAAAAACTCATTCCTGTGGTAGTGAGTCCTATCACTTTCTTTACCTCCATAAGCATTTGGGAAAATCGTCTTTGCTATGAAACTAGGAAGGTTCTAGGAATTGGAAACAACACATTTAATCTAAACATGGTACATCACTTTTGTCCTCCCTCTGGTTGCTTTCATGAAGTTTGACCTTTTGACATCAAATATAGTCCTACTTCAGCTATTAACTTGGTGATTAACTTGGTTTCCTGAGCTGTATTTTGGGTATAATGTAACTTCCTACCTTGCAGCGATGTTACAAGGTACAATGTATTATCTTTTTGTGAAATTACTTCAGAGGTGCTTCAGAGATACAGAACTGCAAAATGTTAGCGTTTCTTTTCATGTAAGACAGAATATCCCTCCTTTGAATACTTCACACGCAGAGCTCAAGGTCTGTGTGCTCCTTCAAGCTGCTTACCACAAAAGGATGAATCAGCAGGTGTTCTCCCCTAATGCAACAGGAGCTCCTTCTCTTGGCATAAGCCAGGATGTAATGGGCAAGATGGAGCTCAAAGCTAGCACATAGTGGAAATTTGTAAATATAATATATTTTTATATATATATGTAATATATTATATACAATATATACAATAATGTATTGTTGTACAATATTATATACAATAATATCCTTAATTGTACAAATCAGTGTAACTTCAGGGAAGTCAGGGAAGCTATATTCATTTACTTGTGATCATCAAAGATAGCCAAGAAAGTTGGAGGGAAGAAAGCAAAATTGAACAAAAAGTCACCAAGTCAAGTCATTAAATCACTACTTACAAAATACATAAAACAATGCAATGCCTGTGCCTGGTCTTGTAGCAGAATAAAGCTGCTGCCAAATGAAAACAAAATTGGCTTTTGCTCCTAACAGCTAAGGCCAATAATGTTTCCTCAGATAATTTTCTGGGGATAAGTATTTATATTGTTCTAAAACATCTGATAATAATTAGACATTTATTTGTAGTTTTCATAAGAGTGATGAAAGCAGAGGAGACAGAAATAGTCCACTAGAAGGGAGCTATAAGTATCTCTGTCTCTAAATAAATGAAGGCTTGGTTGAACATGGGAAGGATAAAAACAATATTTAACACAGAATGTTTGGTCCATTAATTTCCAAGGGTTTTGAGTCCCCCACACTTTGCTTTGCACAACATACCACAGCTTGTGGAGCGCACATCTAACACAGCGTGTGCTGTACACCGGCGGTTTCATCTCAGGTGAGCCATCTGCCCTCTTTGGCAATTGTGTCCAAAGGAGAAGAGACAGAGGGAAAAAAAAAAAGCAAAATATGGCAAGCTGCATACACATTAGAGTAAGGCTACGCCTATGTTAGTAAATTAGCAAATGGCAAAGAACGTACCAAGGCAGCGGGAGGTGCTTATCTCTGCCCTGAATTGTTTGAACGGTCCCTGGCATGCTTTTGGCACTGGCCAAATAACACTCTCCCAGACAATTTCTTAGCTCTTTTTGGTAGTTAGCCAGGCCAGGAACAATTCCCAATTGTCAGTTTATATGTAGTCATGATGGTTTTGAACTTGAAAAAGCTTAATAGTATGGACATGGACTGCCCTGTGGCCTCAGATGGCCTCAGTTCCTAGGCAAGTTTAATTTACTAATATAGATATTACGCAAGTGCATCATAAGCTTTAATGCCATCAGGCCTAGCTGGAATAGATACGCCCCGTGACTTACCACCAAGAACGACTAGGGAATCTGCAGTAGGTTGCAGTTCTTGGTAAAGGACATATAAGACTGTAACAAAATTTGGGCAACCAGAGCAAAACTGTTGCTAGAGACTTACTGTTTAATACTGGTGCTTATCCAGATAAACCTCTCTCTCTAGTCTTTGACGACTGAGGAGAAGAAATAAAAACTACTATATTCCAGATATAGTGAGTATTGTGCTGCAAAGCACAGAGTAAACTGACTTTGCCCTGATAAAATTGTCTGTGAAGTACTCCGTAAACAGACAGTAGGTAAAATGGTGAAAATGAAACCATTGCTACAGAAATTAATTAATTATTTGCTTAACTAGTTTTAAAAAATATTTTTTAAATGACAAAAGGAAAGCTAAGTATCTCTTTCAGCAATGTTTGTATGCTTCAGTGATGACTAGTGAGACTGGCAGCCGCAAGAGCAACCAAGACTGGAGCTCTTTTGTGCTGTACTAATGTAGAAAAAGAAGACTGCAGCGCTTGAAGGGTTTGGTTTGTACATGGAAAAAATACAGAGCATAATGATGAAAGTAGACGAGCCTCTTGAGGATTGGCAAGACCTTCAGATTTGCGTTTGTACCTGTGTTTTAGTTTAGATAGCTCAACAGATATTGGGATTAGGAAGATAAGTTGAGAAAATAGAGACAATATTGGTGTCGTCAGCTGTTTACCCAGGCTCAGAGGGCAGATTTCACGGATCTCATGACAGAGATGAAGAAGACACTGTGCAAAGTGCTCCCCGGTGAGTGACACTCAATCTGATATGGGCTGGCACTCAAGCAGGGAGGATCATGTGCTCGAAGCCACCAGGCAGAGAGATCTCCACCACAGCCCTGAACATTGCAATAACAAGAGACTCCATGTTGGCTTATTCATGTCTCGCATCAGGCTGGAGGTGCAGCTAAGACATCTATTCTCATGTGAATTCACTGGCTAAAACCTTTTGAAAAGGCAGAAACCAGCAGCAGCAGCTGGCTTTGAGTTCCAGGAGCAGCCATGTTCTTCTGACTTACATGGGATTTGGGAACCTCTTGGGTCCTTCTGAGGCCAATGAGGAGAGTGTCTTGCTCAAAGCATACCTTCAGGCTAACAAAATGTTTCAGGTTATGCTATATGAACTATTTCCAAGGAGCCTAGACCTCAGTCATGACATATACTGGTGCTCCTTGTGCTACATACTTTGTATATTTTCCATTGAAAGACAAGCCACACATGCAGGTAGTGAGCTGGACTTCAACTGTAAAAACATCTGCAGGCAAAAAAAGGTTGCTCCTGAAAGAAATAAAGAACATACTTCAGCAATTACATTTTTCATCACGTAATCATTTATTCTCTTTTTTCTATTTGTGAGAGCCAAACATTAGTATGTTTCAGGATCCCTACACAGACCTAGCAGCACGTGTAGTTTTTCTCCTTATCCACTAAACACATAGATTCCCAAGACACCTCTCCTCCCCTTCCCACCTCTACTTAAACCATTCAACTCTATGGAGAATAGGACCCTTGGGGTGCACTTCAGCTTCTCGGCAAAGGGAAGCGAGTCCCAGTGTGCAGCCCTGGCTGGGGAGCAATGCCAGCAGGTCCATCTGCTCAAGTGCCCTACCTGCTCTCATCCGTTGTGCTATGGCCATCTCTCACAAACCAAGGCCACAGGCTACATAGAGGGTTTCAGAGCTAAATTAACACCTTGAAATAAGTCCCAAGGCATTTGTGTAATGTATCCTTCACATCATACCCTGAACTAAAATCTTGCTCTGTGTTTCAGTGGTTAAGCAAAATGATTCCTCTATACTTAGAGCAAAATTATGTCTGCCCCTAGAAAGGGGAGAGCACAAAAAAAAAACCCTTAAAGGATAACCATAATTTGATGGCCAGTGCTGTAATACGCAGGGCGCAGCCAACAGCTCTGGCCAGCCAGAGAAGAGACATGTGGGTGGCACAAGGTCAGGGCACCTCTGTTGCCTGACACAGCAGATTATGTGTCTGGCTCTCAACATACTCCCTCTAGGTCCTTGAATACTTACCAGTACTATCAGCTGCCAAGAACAAAATTAAAATCTGTGATTTCCTCCCTCTGAAGATGTTACAAGGCTGGTTTAAAGAATTTTTTTATTAGTTTAGACTCTTGAAGCTTATAAGATTTTTAAATGGCAAATTAAGGGGTACTTCGTTTGCATTCAGGTATTTGAATATTTAAAATGCTGTCAGGTAATTCTGAAAAAGTTTTCTTTCCATTCACAAAGACAAGAAATTTATTATTTTTAAATCAGGTAAATTAAATATGGCATTCTAATGTATGTGAATGCCACCAGAGTCATAAATTTTACAGAAATTCAGGCAACTGCCACCCAAGAAAACCCCAACTAATAAACACATCAACCAACCAATAAAAAATCTGAGCTGGGCTTTCTAAGAGCATAATGAAAATCAGGTACTGCATCTCCTCGCACCCTCTGTCAGAGTGGTCCATAATTTGGTTCTTTTTTGAAAGAGATTCTTGCAAAGGAGAGTTGGTCAGGATAGGATCCTGTCTTAAAGTACGAAAACAGTATATTGAAAAGGCATCATCAAACACCATCACCCCCCCCCCCCAAAAAAAAGGCAAAAAAAAACCCCAAAAAACCACAAAGAACCCAAAGACTGATGTGCATCTAAAGTTCTTGCATTTGCTACCGGTCCATGAGTAGAACTTTGTTTCTTTTAAGCCCCCCCAAGCTAAGATAGAAACTTCAAAAAAAGTAATTTACTGTGTTGGTGCCTTTAACATGATTTGGGATCATTCTGGTTGCTAAAGCAACATAAGCTGAAATTAAAGCTTTCCCTTTTGCATTCCACACCTTCTAATTTTTCTCCATGCAATGAAGTCATCATAATCATGTACCTTTGATCTTGCAGTCATCTGTGACACTAGATATCACAAGTGAACAATTACGACTTCACGGAGTGAAAGAAAAAGAAAATTAAGCCTCATAAAGCAGGGTTTTGTTTTAAACAAAAAAAAGAGAAAAATCTTTCCAGTTCTTACAAAGTAAGTGTGCAAGCTGCATTAAAGGAAGATGGACTCATGATTTGAAAAATCGTATTTAAAAGCCTTGGTAACTCTTTTGAAACTCTTCTCTTGACTCTTGGGGGAGGGGGACAAGCATAAATATTTTAACCACCAACTACAAAATATTTGAACTAAATATAGAGTAACTGTACTTGAAGGCTGTTGTGTTTCTGTACTATTCTTGTCTTTGTTTCCCTTTTTTGCTTGTACAGGCTGTTCCACCACCAAACTTTGAGATGCCAGTTTCTATCCCAGTGTCCAACCACAACAGTTTGGTATACAGTAACCCAGTCAGCTCACTGGGAAACCCCAACCTTTTGCCGCTGGCTCATCCTTCTTTGCAAAGAAATAGCATGTCTCCTGGCGTGACGCATCGGCCTCCAAGTGCAGGTAACACAGGTAGGCTCTGTTCAATCCGATCCCTTTAAATGCTCTTTTATCAGATGCTTGTGTGCCTTAGGTCACTTTACACTGTACTCTGAGAAACAAGAACTCTGTTTTTACCGGTCATAACCATTTGTCCAAAATTGCTGTGTTGAAAAATCAAAAGAAGAGCCAAAGGGGTTTCTATTCCCAATTTAGAAAATAAAAAAAAAAAGTTCTAGAAAAAGCTGAATATTGACTAAGATTAAAGGAAATCAATAAAGGATAAAAGGGCAGACAATTTGCTGTTTCATAAAAAGGTAGCTTGTCTACTTAATTCATGCAAGAACTCACTATACCATAAAGCTTAAGCGGGCAGGGGAGAAAATGTAGCCAACGCAAACAAGTTGAAGCAAGTAAAATAGGACACTAATAGGACACTCGTTACTTAAGTCATCAGTCTAGAGGCTAAACGCAGAATTTATTATTATTTATGCCAACAGGTTCCTTGTTGGGTAAATGTTAGTTTAGCTCTGTACTTGAGTTCCTTGTATAGCAAGAGGCTGTGCTTTACTCTGGTGATGATGAGGGCTCACCTCTGAATAGGATAAATGGGGATTAAATTCCTTCAGTCTGTCTGACTGAAGCAACATCAAGATCCTTAAGTACCCCGGGTTCAAAGAACCATTTGAGGTCCCCAAGTGCAAAGAGAAATTTTAAAAATCCTTGGAGTGAATGTCTATGAAAGGCTGAGGAAATTAAAATTAAAAGCTATGTAAATATATGTTGTAGCTTCTGAGTTACGTTCTCGACAGGAACTTTCAGTCTCTTCCTCCCAATGCTATGTGGAAGTCTTTGCTTTTCTGACTAATACTGAATTAAAGATAGTTTTCAAATGAAGGACTACTATACATAACTTTCAAATATAATTTATTTTTCATATGCTGTGGAAGTATGAATATAGAATAAAGAAATGTTGTGTATTACATATTTTGTTTGTCCTTGAAAGACAAATATCTTGTACGGGTAACATTAAACATTACAGTTTTATGACTACGGGTCTGATCGGATGCCTGTTGAAGTCAGAGGAAAACAGTGGTGGGTACTGGAGCAGGCCGTTTGAAGTTAGAGAAAATGTTTTGAATGTTTGCCTGTTATAATTTATCGTGCTCATTTGTAGTATTTCATTTCAACCCCCTAGGTGGCCTGATGGGTGGGGACCTCACAACCGGTGCAGGCACCAGTGCAGGTAAAGAGAAAAGAATTTATATTTATTTTTCTAAGTGAACAAAGGACTTCCTTCAAAGGCTGAGTCCTAAAATAGCTCCATACTGGAGGTGGGATATTAGAAAGTGATCGGCATCGGTTTATTTCCCCCAGCTGCAGGGTGGGGAGTTGATATTTGTGCTTCTCTTATTTGTAGGAAGAGGCTTACTTTCAACAATGTCAAAAATCTTTCACCTCAACAAACTCCACGAATACAAATGTCTGTTTTCCTTCACATGAGCCTTTCGATAAAAACTTTCGGGTTCATTGCATAGGCCTGTTCAAGCAAAACTCCTACTGAAGCCAGTGTCAGAAACTCTGATCTTTTTTAAGTCACAAGGAGTTTTTCTATTGACTTTAGTGGAATTGGGGCTTCGTTTTATGAATTTAAGCTTGAGTAAAGATTTCGATACAGAGTCTTTCATTAGCCTTCTATCTACAGAGCACGGATTTGATTTCAAGCCTCTGCTTTAAGACCATTGCTACTCAGCAAAATCTGTTAGCATTTACTTAAATAATCAGTAATTAACTTAAGCTTAGTTTTATGTATTTACTTAAGTGCTTTGGTACACAACAGGGAAAGGATTTTCAAAATACTCATGTAGAGAAAAAGATTAGCCCCTTAAGTCCTGCTCCCATAGAACTCACGAGAACTGTACCTGCTAAGGTCTGTGTTATCAAAGCAATGTTGTCAGAGTAGTCCCCTTTGCTCAGTAAACTCAGTGGTTTGTTAGCAATGTCAGCAATGTTGCATTATTACAAATACGGATTACAAAAGACAATGGCAAGATTACTGTTTCAGTTTGAGAAGCAGAAGTAGACACATATGTTCGAAGAATATAAGATGAGCGGTAAAACGTGGAGCACATCCAATTTTACTGGATTAACCGCTCTCAGAAAGAACTGTATGGAAAAATAGTTGGGAGATCCATTTTGTGCACTATATATGTGCATACATATGCCAATTTTGACGTTGTCTCATAAAATTACTTATAAAGAAATTCTGGATATAGTGATCTTTTCTTTCTTGGCTCTTCCCAGCCTGCGTTAGACCACCCCCCTTTTATCTTCACGCATAGATGAGTCACAGATGTTTGTGTGATGCATTTGTAGTAAAATTGAAACTGCGCAGCATTGTATCAGAAAGCCACTTTAAACGCATGCTGAAGCTTTGAGGGGTCATTTTGTATTAATTTAGGAGGAGGGAAGGCAGACCACGGGAACTTAGCTATTAGTCTCCTTTGTTCTCAAAAAAAGAAAGCATGATAGAAAATTACAGATTTGTTAATTATCTTTTGTTAGCCTGCGAAACACAGCTAAAGAAAGATTCATTCTGGCGATGTTCGCATTTCGTCTCACTTTAACCTTGTGTATAGTAGAAACTTCAGGAGGGGCTCGGATAGGAAACTGATTGCCCTATTAAGGGGCTCCCTCTACTGGCTTATTAAGAAATATCATTGTCTCCCTACTGGTTTCCCTGTTCCTTTAAACGACGCTGGGAAGCAATTAGTAGAGAAGGCAATGTTTTCTTTTAAAAGGCGCACATACAAAAAATAAAAGTTCCTCTACACATGCATTTGGCTTAATAATCCCTGTGCTTAATAAAATCTGTATATCAATATGCCAGTTGAAAATTTATATTCTTTCTAAATACATACTTTTTCCTAGAAATATATTAAAAGCATATATAAGCATAGGAAGAGGAATAGGTTGATTATTTACTCACAGATTAAGAATTTGTATTTCCTGGGCGCAGTGTTATGCATTAAGCTCTCAAGCAATGTAACTTTGGAGCAGGCAATTGATTTGAGGGACATATATATGAGGGGCATTGCTAGGAATGCATCATAAATATTTAATCGTATGAATAGTCTTTGTTCTTTATCTGGCAATAAGAGCTTTAAACACCATTAAAGAAGTGTTTTCTAAATCTCTTAAATGCAGAGCAGTAGGAAGAATTTGATACAGGGCTGAAGGAAGATGAAAAGGTCACCATAAGGTTGAATCCTCTGTCTTACTTGCATCATTCCACAATGGCACTATTTTGGACCCTCTTTCTTTAGGGTGCAGAAGAATAAACATCAAAAGTTCTCTTTGTTCATCATTCCTCACAAGAAACAGAGACCTCTATGTTTTTTTCTGTTTGGCATCTTAGAAGCTGGTAGCATGATCACATGGTTTAATCTGTTGGGGTTCATATTTGTGGCCAAATTAGAACATTATGAATTTGCATTTTTCTGCAGTGTCCAAAAATAGCATATATTCAAACTAACATACTCCAAGAAGAAGAGTCTAAAGAGTTTCATTTCTGCCATTATAAAATGAAACTAGTTTTGATTGCTAACACCAGGCCTCCGTTTCTGCACTACTTTAACAAATTACATTGTAACAAATTACATTATAACTGCAATATCAGAAATGGAAAAAGATTAGTTAAGATTAGTTAAACTGCATTTGAGAAGTATGTTATTTTGTTGGTTTGGATTATTTCAAGTAATAACCCTGAAATCATCCACAATTTACCGTGGGAGTCAACCCAAGACATAAATAGAACATAAAAAAGCTGACTATTTCCTTATTACCCTACACAACTAAATACCGTCGGTGGTATTTTTAAGTTAAACCAAGGTTATCTCAAGTTTGTTAAAGTAAATTTGTTCTTAGCCAAACACTGATTGAATAGTTTCTATCATGTGATAGTAGCAACTGCCACAAAATTGGAGTGAACTTCACATTTAGTATAGTTGCTAAATTATAAATACAGGAACATCTTTGGCACTATTCTCTCAAACCACAGGCTTTTGATTGAAAGAGAAAACAAGAATTTTTTGGACCCAAATCGGTATGGTCTAAAACCATTCTAGCTTACCCCATAACTAATATGAAGACTAAGTGACATGTTACCTGTTTACATAATAGACTATGTGAAGTTCTTTTAATTTTTAGGGACCATAGCCTTTAACAAAACCACTTAACAGTAACTTGACGAGAAATAAATAATGTCTATGAAGTTTTAGTAAATGATCTGAACTCAAGTTTTATTCAGTGGCTCAAAATACAACAGTATTGGGGGACGCCTTTCTTTGCATCTGTACTTTAAACTTTTGATTTTCAGACTGACTTATATTTTTAGATTGAGTTATATTTTTCATTTGTTGTATGGTTTTCCGATTATGACATTTTGTATTTTATAATTAAGTTTTCTTTTGAGTGGAATAAGCCCATCTAAATCAACAGAATTTCCTTACATTTTAAACCACTATAAATAATAAAATCGAAAGAAAAATTCAATCTCAAGTTTTAAATCCAGGATGGGTATAATAAAAAATATACTTGCTTTAATTGTTTGTTCACTTCCTGTAATTTGTTTATTTCACTATTTGATTCTTGTACTGCCTCCATCTTAACATTAATATTAAACTAAAGGAGTAAGTTCAAAAGTACTTGGGATTCTACAAATGCTGTCAGAGGGGCTAAGTGCTTGTTCTTTTTAAATCAAGCATCCTCAAACTACCTTTAAACCTGTTGTTTAAAATCATTAGAAACTGAAAAGATCATTTTGAAAAATGCATTCCACGTCTTTTTAATAACTGAATCCCGTATTTATCTATAAATCAGCAGCTAGTCATTTCCTTCTGGAAACTAGCCACAAGCTAACAGTTGCCTTCTCATCTTCTGAGGGCTGAGGTCCTGGATCTGCCAGCCAATATCATAATTTGCTAGTGCTTTCCTGCTCCTTTTTCTTTTCTTGGTCATGTACTGACTGTGGGTGAGTGTATTATATATTCTACTAGTATTTCAAGCCACATGGGAATATATGTAATAGAAGGGGTTTTTTAAATTTATAAGCGCTCAGGGTGGAGGCAATCTGGATTGCATCTTCTCAAAAAAGAGTGATTTACTAAAAAGAAGCAATCTGCCCAAATAAGCCTACAAGCAGTATCAAAAATAAGCAAGGATTTCAAAGGCACCTAGTTGCATTAGTGTCTTTTGAAACTATAAATATAAATAAGCAAACTAATACTAAAAATAAAAAATTAAAAAATTAAAAGGTTACATAAATGTTTTCGTTTGTGCCCTGAAATCATGCTTGGCATAGACAAGAGAAGATAATTCTTAGGCTTCAAGTGTGGAATACATTAAATAAACAAGTGAGCTTAGAACAATGATTCCCAAGCCAGAGTTTATGGGCAACCTGTTACGACTGGGTTTGCCAGGGAGAGCATGATAAGTCATTGCCCTTCCCTTATTACTCGATGAGTGCAGTCGCCCACAGATCTCTGATCCAAAGATTGGGCAAGATGCGGTACAAAAGTATAGTAAACAATAGTTCCTGTCCAAGGAAGTTTACAGTCCAAAAGAAAGAACATGCAGTCATTCATAACAGAGTTTGTGATGCAATAGTGCCAAATCCAAACAATAAGAAATCATGAATTGGCAGGTTGGCTTAAAACCTGTGGAGGGGGATAAGAAATGAAAAACACAACAGCTCTCCTTTTCTCTTCTCTTTTTCCACTCATATTATGCCATTAAATGTTCCTTTTCCAAACTTTCCTCCATATAAGGAGGATATATACTCTTTTTTTCAGTGTTTTAAGGGAAGTACTTACAGGTAGGAGATTTGTGATAAAGCAGAAGAACACTAGAACTTGCTTGACAACTTTAATACATAGTATGAAGGAAATAGTCTATCTAACAGTACCTGAATTTCGTATCTGTGTAGGCAGGCAACTCAGGCCTTTCCAAAATTAAGTCCTATTTCTGCCCTGAGCAACTGATCTATTTTATACAGCTTATTCAGACTCTTTACATACAAGTAGAAATTACATCAGTGAAACTTCGAGAATAAGTTTGAAAGGGTAAGTGCTGCTGTCCATGTAAAAATCAAAAAAATCTTGCAATGGGTGTCATGCAAAGATTGGATGTGTGTATTTTCAGCAAACTCGTGTGACCTCTTACCAATGAAGAGATCCATGTAAGCTC